AGGAAGAGCAAGAGGAACCCGAGCTGTCGACTCCACCAAGTGCCGGCCAAGGCTGCACTGGTTTCCCGGTTTCCACCTTGGCCTTCCCACGTGCAAGACCCAGTGCATTCTCCACCAACAGCCAAAGAGATCTTTTAAAATTGAAGAACTGATAAAGGTCAGTTTTCTTACTAAAAAGTTCCCAAGGTTTCCCCACCCATTTGAAATGAAAACCAAACTCCTTACTTCGGCCTATAAGGACCTGCCTCCTCTGGCCTCCAACCCCTTGTGCTACCAACAGGGGTTCTTCTCCCTCCTTTGCCGTCTCTGCTCCACCTGTAGCGCCGCTCCGCCACCTCGGGCGGCTAAAATGTCACCTTTTCAAAGATGCCTTTCCCAGTCACAAGTTGCCTCTTCGCCGGGTTGTGTGATACTTCAGAGCGCCGTCATTTCACTTGCACGTTACTCGTTTCCCTCCCTCCTCGTCCTCCTCCCAGAGTGCAAGCTCCCAGAGAGCAGGGGATTCCACTGGACCCCGCCCGGTCCCCGACAGCCCCACCGCTTGGCGCGGCGCCTGGGACCCACTGAGCGCTCGGCAAACGTGTACCGAATGAATGAAGCCGCGGCGCCGGGCGGCCGCGGGAATTCCGTGCAGGCGTCCGCCGCGGGCCCGCGGGGTGCGGAGCGGCTGGGCCACTGGCTCGCGCGGTTCGGGGACCTCGCGGGGCGCGGGGACCCGACAGGCTCCACCCGCACCCCCACCCGGCCGCGCGCCGGGCCCCGCACCGCAGGTGCCTTCCGCGAGCACGCCAGTCCCAGCCGGCGCGGCCGCCCCGAGCTCCCCCCACTCACCATGGTGACCCGGCAGCCGCCGCCCCCGCTAGGCGAGCGGCGAGCGCGGAGCACGCAAGGGCGAGAGGCGAGCGCAGGAGCCGGCGCGGCTGACAGGTGAGCGCCCGCCTCAGACCATGGCCGCCTCCCACAATGCCCTGGACTGAAAGTTTGCAGACTCCTCCCCGCGCGCTCCCTCCGCCCCGCCCACGCCCTGCCGCCCCTCCCTCCTCCGCCTCGCCTTCCCCTCCCTCCTCCCAGTCACTCTCCTCCCCGCGGTCCCCTCCTCCTGCGCCCCCCGCCCCCCGCCCCCGGCCCGGCCGCACCTGTGCGGATGCACCTGCGCGCACCTCCGCTCGCCGCCTGGGCTGCGCCCGGAGCCGGCCGACCCGGAGCTCCCTGCACCTAGACCTCCGCGAGCTCTGCCTTCCTGATTCTGCAGCGCGAATGTGTCCTTCATTCACTCGAGAAACTTTTGTCAGTGCTGGCAAAGATATTTCCCCCAGACACTTGAACTTGAGCGGTTGGCAGAGCTGTAACTGGAAGCGATTTCTTGCTCCCTTTAGCACCCTGTCCCCTCACTTCAAAACAAACTCTGCAGTCCCCCGGCAAAAATCGTAAGCAAGCTCCTTTCAAGAGCTCTCCTAAGATGTTGTGGCGTCCAAGACTGTTTCTTCAATTTCTCTCCTGCCTTGGTTTTTCTTAAGTCTGGGGGTTTTACCTACGGCGTCCAAACCCCTAAATCGTAGGCAGAGTTTTGAGCGTAGATTTATCTTCGTTCGGGAAAGAGAGTCCATTTGTTATATCAAACACCTAAAGATACTTTGCTAAGAAGAATGTTTTCCAGCTCCATCCATATAAACATGAAGGAGGTTAATAAAAAATAAATAAATAATCACCTAAAGAGAGCTGAGACCCTGAAAGTGTTAAGGACCATTGCCTGGGCAGTCCCTGGAACCCCAAATCTGTGAGAGTCCTTCCCAGGATCTGCTGTACCCTTCCCCAGGCCGGGGGCCAGCTCAGGTGATTGGAAGTAAGGAGAGCTCCACCCACCCGCGGGTTCATGCCACAAATATTTACCAATATTTACTCTATGCCACAGGCCCTACAGGAGGAGGCTGGCAGACCCAGCTGGGGACAAACAGGCTTTCTCCTGGAGCTTTCAGTCCTTTGCGGAACAACATATAATAAACAAGTAAACAAATTATGACAGTTAAATGGGTGCTGAGAAGGGGACATTTGGGTCGCTGGGATGGGTACCCAGATGCCACGTTAATTTAGTTCAGTGGTCAGGGAAGGTGCCCCTGAGAAGGTGACATGAGACTTGGACGTGAGAAGCCAGTGGCCAGAAAGGAAAAAAAAAAAGAGTCTACTTCTAGAAAGACCCCCAGAAAGCCTCGAGGACTGGTATTAAGTGAGAGGAGATCTGAGAGGTGGGAGCCCAAGGCGATGGGTCTTTGTAGTCATCAGCGTCACTTACACTAAAGCTCCAAAGAGAGTAATAGCTACTTTTCAGCCTCAAAATTCTGAAAACCCCGACTGTGTCCACATACTGGTCTGTTAGTTGCTGCTTATCCTAACAGTCACTTTTACCCCTTGTATTGTGGCATCCGTCCAGGAGCATCAGAAAACGATCACTGGAGGACAGTTAATCCACGGTCTCCTGGGAGATCTTGTCTCCTGAAAGAGCAGTGAATTTAGGAAAGCTGCTTCCTAAACTCCCACCTTCTTTGTGCTTTTCGTCTTTTTTTTGTTTGTTTGTTTTGTTTGTTTGGTTGGTTGGTTTGTTTTGTTTTTTTAAGCGACAGAACAGAGTTTATTGACAGGGAGAAAGATTGATAAAAGCAAAAGGAGGGTGGAGCAAAAGGTGGGAGAAGAGAACCTCTGGCAGCTGAGGGGAATCCAAGTGGGAAGCCCCCCTCTCCTCCTTTTGGTAGCCCAGCTCTGTGCTACCATCGCGATTGATTCTGTGAATGGTATCCAGAGCCGTCTGTTGTAAGGGTTTTGGTGCTAGGGTTACTAAGAGTGAGTTTTAAAGCTGGAGAAAAGTCAGTGTTCTTGCCATAGCAGTTAAGACAAAGATTAAAGCAGGAGGAAGTTCCCTGACTGTGTGGTCCTTGTTGAAGCAGAGGTCATTTGAAGAGGAGGGAAGGTTGGGGTCCTTTGCCGTCCCTCCTGACCTGACTGAGATGGGCAGTGGACCCCTCCTGGGGCTTCTGCCATCTATTATTCCTCCCTCCAGATTGTCACACCATACCCAAAATCGCCCTAAGAGCAAGGCCTTCAGTGAGCTGGACACTGCATGTTGGTTATCTTAGTTGCCTCCTAGACAGTCAGTAAGAAGGGCCACCACAGCCATTGCACAGATGACAGCCTGAGGCTCTGAGGTGGCAAAGCCAAAGCAGGCCCAAGGCCATAGCTAATAAGAGGCCGAGATAAACGTGGAATCGAGAGGGCCAAGAGTTAATCTGATTCTCCTGAAGCCCCGTCCCGTGGCAGACCCACTCAGGACTCAACAGTGGAAATGAAGCAGTGTTTGTCTTATCACCCTTTGTCTCAGAGGAATAACTTGCATTTTTGAGTCTTGATTTCTCTATCTCTTCTTTGCTCCTATTTTAAGTTCCTGACTTCAACTAGGTCCACCAACAGTCGGGCCAACCCCAGGGAAGACCCAGGAGCCCTAGAGCTCAAGATGTTCTACTGCAAAGAGAAGTTCCTTGGTCAGATCATAAAGGGCCTTTCAGCTTCAAAACCTGTTGACCTCGGAAGAAGCCGGGTGCACAGTGCTTTAGATCAGCTTCTCTCTAAGCTGGGGGGTGCATGTGATTCAGGGTATGTACATTTCCTCACATGCAATGCCCTGGCGTTCGGTCACCCTGATTTAGAAGTTTCACTTTTCAGATTATTCTATAACCAAATATGCACAAAAGATGCAGATAGAAAGTAGGGACATTATAATAAATTAAAATGATAGAAGTCCATGAACAAAAAGTGCTAACTTTCTAGAAACTCGGGGAAATCAAGCTATAAGTTAAAAAATATAATAATAATAACCTAAGCCAAGGAAAAGCCAACTTCAAAGTCAACTTATGCAATACCTTCCCAGGCATTAATTGAAAGCTGGTCCTTCTGTTCTTCAGTGCCCTCTTATTAATGTCTTAAATAATCAACATCTCCAGTAATCCCTCTACAGAGCCCAGCAATTCATCTTGTCATGATGAAACTTTTACTTTGAGGACTTAGGTTCTTAGCACCCTCTCCCTTTACTTTTCAAAACAGGGAATTTTATTTCCAGATGAAAGAGCCCTGCCCAATATGTTTCTAAAGAATATCCTTTAAAATTTTAACTACAAAATAATATAGGTTCGTGGATTTGGAAAATACAGAAGAGCATTATTTTAAAACCTTGCTCTAATTCTACCATCAAGAAATAACTATTATTCTGTTTGTTGTACTTCCTTTCAGATTAGTATTCTATAAAGAAGGAAGCGGGAAGAGAAAGAGATTTGGTTTTTAAAACAAAAATGTAAATCCTACTGCAGTGGTTTGAATGTGTTCCCTCCAAAATTCATGTTGAAATTTAATCCCTATGGTGGTAGTTTCAAGAGGTGGGACCTTTGAGAAAGTGAGTCAAAAGACTTCTGCCCTCATGAACAGATTAGTACCTGAGAAAAGGGATAGAGGGAACTAACATAGCCCCTATTTTTCTTTCCATCCCTTCTGCCATGTGAGGACACAACTTTTGTCCCTTATGGAGGATTCAGCAACAGGGCACCATCTTGGAAGCAGAGACCAAACCTCTGTAACTGAAACAAACTTATGTTTGTTTGCCCACACACAATGGAAAGTCAGTCACTGAAGCATCAGGTTTTTGCAGGAAGGTTTATTGTCAGGTGGCCAAAACAAGAAAACAAGAGTCACACTCCACCTCCCAGAGCTGGAGGTTGAGGTAGATTTTATAGTCAGAGGTTAATGAGGCATGATCTGATCGGACCTTGCAATGGGGTGATGCCAGGAGATGTGCTCTGACTAGATCCTGCCATGGGGTGATGCTAAGGATTGGACCCTGGATCCTGCCGTGCGGTATCTGATTCTTAATTCAGTCCCCACTCCTTGGCCCAAACACTTAGGTTCTATCCATGACTACATGTTTGGTTCATCTGGGCATGTTCAGATTATGTGACCTTCAATCAAGGGGTCCTTAGAAACTAAAAAACAGCTCACAACTTTGTTCCATAAATGTTGAAGCAGATTGGTCTGGTGCAGTTATACTTCACCATGCATCAAACCTGCTGGTGCCGTAATCTTGCACTTTCTAGCCTCCAGAACTGCAAGAAATAAATGGCTGTCCTGTATTAATTACCCAGTCTCAGACAGTTTGTTACAGCAGCACGAACAGACGGAGACACCTACTACAGGTACTCATTTGCATCCTACTGTTTTGTTTTGTTTTTTAGTAAGAGAGTTACTGAACAAATATTAATTGAGTGTCTACTCTGTGCTAAGAAGTGTGCTAGGCACTGGACATAGAAAAACAAAAAATAGAAGATACAGTTCCCCTCAGGGTGAGTATGAAGTGTTATGAAGAAGACGTCTGTTAAAGAAATGATAACATACGTAAGTGTGTAATTAGCACAAATGCTACGAAAGGAAGGGATGAGGTACCGTGCAGACAAGTAGTACATTCCTGGCAGACATGTGTTTGCCTCTCTAGGATCCATTCTTCCTGCTTCCTCTAATTCCCATTTTGAGTTTGGAACTAATATCACTTTTTCACAGTGACAATGACTGGTTCTAAAATAGACAGATGCTCAGAGTCACATAACTCAAGCCAATGAGACTAAATTCTGGGACACTTTTTGAAACCCTCTTAGAGTAGTACCTCCACTCTTCTTACTAGTTTTGAATGTGAAGGAGGAAGCTGGAGCTGCTGCAGCTATTTTAGCTCCTGGAGGATGAACTTCTCTAGGGAGCCAACGTCAAGGAAATTGAACCAAGGGGTGGAGCAATGAGCAGGTCTTGGTGACACTCTTTGAGCCCTGGATCAAATAAAGCTG